AAATTGCAAGAACCGACACTTAAAGACGAGAATGGCATGACCCGACACTTACAGACGAGAATGGCGTGACGCGACATTCACAGACGAGAATGGCGTGACGCGACACTTACAGACGAGAATGGCGTGACCCGACACTCACAGACGAGGATGGCGTGACGCGACACTCACAGACGAGAATGGCGTGACGCGACACTTACAGACGAGAATGGCGTGACGCGACACTTACAGACGAGAATGGCGTGACGCGACACTTAAAGACGAGAATGGCATGACCCGACACTTACAGACGAGAATGGCGTGACGCGACATTCACAGACGAGAATGGCGTGACCCGACACTTAAAGACGAGGATGGCGTGAGCCGACACTCACAGACGGGAATGAATGGACAATTGCATTGAATTTGGCAAATATCAAACTGCATCATTGAACAAGACGACGCGTGAACACATTATGGCACGCGTCTCCATTCTAGGCGTTTTAGTCCCTTAATCGCCTAAAATCAAGGTCTGATATCAGGTAAAATGTTCTTTGAACTGAAAATGGTTGAAGGAAGCATACTTGACATACTTAAACTTATACTTGGTGAACAAGAATTCGAAAATTGTTGTAAGTAGTTTCAATACCTGATAAAGCTGGGGTCTATAAGCTCAGATTCAGCTACTGCCATCTAGCGGAGGATACCACTTCAGAGAGGTCTGTTGGCCCGGTTCGTTACTATTATTAAGTCGTTAGTTCGCCCAAACGGGATATCACGGGGCTTAATGTGTAATACTGATGGCCTAAGTGGGCTTCGGGTCAGGCCAGGTTCGTACAAGATGGGTCACCAATATGCACATAGGCGGATCCTGGGGGGGGGGGGGAACGGGGCCCTGGCCCTCTCCCCCAAAAAAACTCTGAGAATATGTTTTGTCCCCCCCAAAACATTCCCAGGATTTCATACAAGTTTCGTCTACTTACTGTCTAATTTAACTTTGATGGATGCGGTATCAAACATTTCTTTCCGTTTCGGAAAAAAATTCATGAAGGAAGTTTGGCAGCGATTTGAATATCAAAACGAAACGCATATTGACGCGGTTTAGTCATACTCGGCGCAGACATCGTGTTTGATAAGTGCACTGGACCTCGGATCCCACACCAGCCAGCTGGCGACGAACGGTTGCCCCCCCCCCCCCAAAAAAACAACACCAGGGCTAGATCCCCCCCGGATATGCATTAGGAACCGCTGTGCAAAGGTCGCTGTGTCGAAGACACTTCCGGGTGGGTTACTAGCCTGTAGTAAATATTACTGGCATTGTATAGATAACTGACCTGTTAGAAGACGCACTGCGTGGATTGCTGACATTTGGTGCATATTGTGAGAAGGTTCAATGAGATATAGTAGCTGTCTCGTAAGAATAACTGGTATGCAGTAGGCATTCACATATGGCTCTCTGGGATGGATCAGACATCACCGGGTAGCTTACAGACATCACGGGATGGCCTACATACCTCACTGGATGGCTCAAATAATTACCGTATGGCTTAGAGACATCACTATATGGCTAACGTACACCACCGTATGGCTTACAGACATCACCGGGTGGCTTACAGACATCACGGGATGGCCTACGAACATCACCGTATGGCTCACATACATCACCGTATGGCTTACAGACATCACTATGTGGCTAACATACGCCACCGTATGGCTTACAGACATCACCGGATGGCGACAAAACACCACCGGATGCCTTACGGTCATCACCGGATGACTGACAAACATCACCAGATGGCTTACATGCATTACCGGATGGCTTACACATATTACTGGATGGCTTACGGACATCACCGTATGGCGTACAGACATTACCAGATGGCTTACAGACATCCAAGATGGCTTACACACATTACCGGATGGCTTACACCTATCACCGGATGGCTTACACCTATCACCGGATGGCTTACGGTCATGACCAGATAGCTTATATACATTACCAGATGGCTTACACACATCACCGGATGGCTTACAGACATCACCGTATGGCTTACAGACATCACCGGACGGCTTACTGGCATGACCGGATGGCTCACAGACACCCGGTGGATCCCACCGTAGACGACTCGCCTGTGCCATGGACGCCGAGGTTGCGGTATTCGCTGAGCGTGATGCAGTGGCTGAGGTCGGCACCGCACGGCTTGGGCGGCGGCAGCACCGTGACGCAGTGAGAGACGTTGGTGCCCGTCCCGGAGCTGCACTGGACACAGCGCAAGCTCCCTGCTGCGGGAGACAGGGGACGGTCGGTCAAAAGTCAGGCACTGAACGCAGCGCGAGCTTCCTGCTACGTGAGACAGGGGACAGTTCGTCAAAAGTCAGGCACTGGACACAGCGCAAACTTCCTGCCGCGGGAGACAGGGGACGGTCGGGCAGAAGTCAGGCACTGGATACAGCGCGAGCGTTTTTGCTTGTGCCCGCCCTGGAGACAGGGGGTGGTCAGTGGTCAGTCGCTCGACACAACTGGACACAGCGCAGGCCGTCCGCTGTTGGGAGACAGGGGAGGGACGGTCAGTGGTCAGTCGCTGGACACAGCGTAGGCCGGCCACTGTAGGGAGACACGGAACGGTCGGTCAGCAGTCAACCACCGGACACCGTTTCAGAGGAATGGACCGTTTCAACGAGTTCTTCTCGTCGGTGAACTCTCGAATCGCAGCCGACCTGAGCGACGACGTCACGGCCGATCCGGACCCGCGTCCGCCCATCGCCGCCTCGGCGGCGTTGCAGCTCCAGCTAGTCATCCCACCGCAGTTGGCGGACTTGTGAGACGCATGAATTCGTCTGAAGCGGTCCGTTTAGACTGGGTACCGTTAAGCGTAGTCAAGCGTTGTTTCATAGTGATGAGCCCGCATCAGCTGTGCATTGTTAAAGCGTCTGTGACGGAGAGGATTTTTCCCGAAAAGTGGAACACATCCGAGGTGGTTCCCCATCTACAAAGCGAGAGGCGACGTGTACGAGCTCTCTATCTTCCGATCTCCCTTCTACCTCACTTGTCTAAACTTGCTGAGAAAATTTCCGTGATCAACTCTCTCGGTATCCATGTAATCGCAGCATTTTGTTTCATGATCAATATGCGCGCAGGCCTTCCCTCTGCACCAAGGAAGCCGCGCTCGGCGCTGTCGAACGAATCAATCAAAACTCAGAACGCGGTGAGATTTCCACAGTTACCGCCGCGACCTCAGCAAAGCCTTCGACAGTGTTGACCATGGCGTGCTCTTGAACAAGCCGGTATGATACGTTGTTGACCCAACGTCGCTCCGGAGCTATCTGAGCGGCCGGAGGCAGCTGGCGAGAGGCGGTACGGCGACTCGGCCGGTCCGTTTCGAGGTGCCCCAGAGGCCTATTTTGAACCTCGGGTTGAATCTCTTCAGCTTGTTTACGAATGATCTTCACCGTCTCTGACTGGGCTGTCGAGTGATAGCATTGCTGACCACACGGAGCTGCTTGAACACTCGCCACCCAACCCTGGAAATGTAAAATCACTAAAACGGCTTATTAAAGGCTCCTTCGGGACATCCCAGCGCAGGTTCAGACCAAATTCACTAAAGGTGAGCTCAGAAAAACACACTTCACCTTAATCGGAACCAGTGAGAACATCAATAAAGCTGAAGACTTTCATGTGTAAGCTCGCTGACAATTCGTCGCATGTTTGTCCCTTGAAGTGCAGTGTCTTACCGGGCCACCCACTCATCTGAGGCCGGAGACGTGACACTGCAAGTACGAAGTCTCGGCCCCACAGAGCGGGTTTCGCGACCGTGCTGCCGCCTGGTGGAACCAGCTGCCTCCGGCCGCCACTGAGCGTCCGACACTGTCCGCGTTTCGTGCGTCTCTGAGAGCACTGAGGGCGTGAGAGCCGCTCGCTCTGTGCTTGGCTCCATTGGCTTCTGGGAAACTCCTCTGACTAGCAGCTTTTGCGTGCAATGTGTGGCTGCCTTGCTTTGTACCTTTTGTGTTATACCTTGTACATGATGACGCTAATCGTGAATAGCGATACTGCATGGATGGGTTAAATATGTAATACAATGCAATTTTTGATAATTGTTGGCACCACTTATGGGACATGTAACTTTATTTGTCCTTTGGGATTTCGTATTGATACACTTGTCACTTGTTGGGAGGCTCTAGGGCTAGACTAGGACACAGCTCAATCTCCAAGGACTTGGCTCATGTTCGAACACATGAAACCGGATGAGAAAGGGACTCGGGTTTTTAAATTGGATCAAGGATCAAGTCTGAACCAGAACAGCAAACCCGATTTTTGGACACATGTTCAAACTCCGCCTCAGAGTCCGAGAAAGGGATCGCTGGGAATGGCTGACAAGCGGTGGCCACCAGCCGTTGTATGCCAGTCGTGGACGGCAGCTACCCTTGTCAGAACGACGCGCCCTGGAGGCTTTCGAGCGGACCCACGCGAACGGACAGTGTCGACTGGGTTCGGCGGACTGGCCGTGGACCGGCGGCGATCCGAACCTGTGGCACTCGGACAGAGACGTGCCCGGCCTCAGGGCGAAGCTGTCATCTGTCTTTATTCCGACCTGCTAACGCTTCTGCTAAGTCAATCAGAAATTTAACGGGGCTGTAAGATACCAGGAAAAATAAAACAGGAAGTGTCACATGCAGTGGTTTTTATATTCCGTGCACAAAAGCTGCTATCTCTGAAGCTCTTGAACGACATACCTCCGATGGCCCATCTAGTGGTAGTTTGGTGACGGATAGAGCATAAGATAACTCGCGGCAATGGATAGTTGAATAACCTGAGATTACCACGAGATGTGTAGAAACCGCTAAAGTTATAGCGACCTCCGCGGCCGCGGCGATGCCAGTGACCAGCCGACTACCACTGGCTGTCCTCGATCTGGCAACACACTCCCTGGCAACGTCTGCAAACCAAGGACAGGGGATCTGCCCGGCGCGAGAACCGGGGCTCTGAGAGAGAGAGCGTGTCGCGGAGACACCGGGTAGTCGTGGATTCCTGCGCGCGCTGGGAGGCCACCGGCTGAGCGGTTTCCGGCGGCGCGGCCTGTACTCGCTGTCATGTGGGCTCTCGCTGTGTTCTTGCTGCTGGTGACGGCGTTCTTGTGGATTCGGAGGCCGCAGCGACCGTCCAACTTTCCGCCGGGTACGTATTTGCGCCCACACAGCTTGCTGGGTGACCGAAGGCGCGAGAACTTAGCGGAGGGGGTGGGGGGGAGGGGAGGTTTGTGGAAGGGGAGGGAGATAGTGGGGAAGCTCGCTCCCCTTTCTCTTGAAAGCTGGAGGCGCCCCCTTCATCTTGTAGTGTCTGTGGAGGGCCAATTCTGCTATATTATGGTATACTAAGCGCCTCTGTGTTGTTGTAAGGGCCATTCTGAGCTGTTACGGGATGATGTAAGTCTGTGGAAGCTCATTCTGATCTGTCGAGGGCTCATTCAGACCTATGCAGGTTTATTTCGACTGAAAGAGGGTCATTCTAAGCGTGTGGACTGACGAGTACGCTGTTCATATTTGCCTGCAAAAGGCTCATTCTGGACTAATGCAGGGTCTACGTTTCCATGTGCAGGGACCCATTCAGGCCTAGAATGGGCATTTTCTGTCCAGTAAAGTTGTCATAATTAACTGTGAAGGCCGCTCTCATTAGCAGAGAGCTCATTATCGACTCAAAAAACATTCTATCCTGTTAGATGACTAATTCTGATCTGTTGAAGGCCCAATTTGGCTTGTGAACGTCTCATCATGACCCGTTGAGGGCTCCTTGAGGCCTCCAATGAACCATTTCCGCACATAAAGGCCCATTCCGGCCTGTAGAGGGCGATTTCTGACCTACGGAGGACACATTTTGACCTGGATAAGGCCAGTTGGGGCTTGTAGAGAACACACCATCTGATTGTAGGGTGCCCATTGAACATAATCCTCACGCCCTGTGGGTTGCACTGGGTGTTCATTGCGTAGGCGCACAAGTGCGTATTCATGGACAGGCACCGGCGAAAATGTGTGGCTCAACATTCCCAGGTTTTTATTGATGTGCCATGAAGTATTGCTTCTGACGCAGGAGGTAAAAACTTTTCTCCAAAAAATACAAATCCATTGCTCCTTAAGAAATCAAAGTGGAGATGTTTTCCGAAAAAATCTGCATTTGTCCACCACCTGCAGGCCTACGTTATCACGGAGTTTCGCAGGAAGCTGTCTTTAATTGCAACGTGCGCGGCTTTTATATGTTACACTTAACTTGGGGCGAAGTATAGCACACATGAAACATTTACTTCTCCTACTCCTGATGCTATGCTACGACTGCTATGCTACGACGCTGCAACCACGGCCCAGATTTTGAGGACACATCCGGTGAAAGGCATCACTGAATGGCCCAAAGGGAGATTGGTTGAGACTAAAAATGCGTTCTTTTTCAGGCCCTCCAACATTTCTCATCTTTGGCAATATTTGGACGGTGATTGACTGGATTCGGGGCCAGTTTCATGCCAGCATGAACCATTGTCAGCACGACTTTGGGGATCTTCTTGGCTTCGTGCTTCCAACGGGTGACAAGATTGTGCACGTTCGCAAGTATGAAGACATCAAAGAGGCCTGCGCGATGCACGAGCTGTCTGGAAGACCGAACAGATTTGCTGTGCTAGTCCGCAGCTTCCAACAAAAGTTGGGTGTCATCATGAGCGAAGGCCCTGCCTGGGTAGAGCACAGGCGCTTTGCTTTGAGGCACCTGAGGGATTTGGGCTTCGGGAAAAACTCCATGGAGTCGACAGTATTGAACGAATTCGAAGAGCTCTCCCAGGAGATGACACGTGACATTGATGCACCGATGAAAGTTAACTTCCGCTTTAACTTGACGGTGCTGAACATACTCTGGAGACTGGTCGCCGACAAGCGGCTGGAGAGTAGTGATCCCAAGGCCCAACACTACATCGCGACGGTCAACGAATTCTTCACTACCATCGGTCCTGGTAACCCGATGAATCTGGCGCCGTGGCTGCGTCACATCGCCCCCGAGTGGAGCGGCTACAGGCCGCTGATCCGACATCGCGAGACCACGGTCGGCATGTTCCGCGAGGTGGTCCACGAGCATCGGCAGACGCTGGACCGCTCCAGTCCCCGTGACTTCATCGACCAGTTCCTGCTGGAGATGGAGAAGCCAGACGCTGAGGCTCGCCTCTTCACCGAACGCAACCTGTCCATCATCGGCATGGACTTGTTCATCGCCGGCATGGAGACGACGTCTACTTCTCTGAGCTGGGCATTGCTCTTCATGGTCAAGTATCCGGAGTTGCAGAATCGCGTACAGCGCGAGATCGACGCTGTTCTCGGCGGATGTCCGCCGACCTACGGCGACCGCACACGCATGCCGTACACTGAAGCCACGCTGATGGAGGTGATGCGGCGTTCCAACGTCCTCCCTAACGCAGTGGCGCACAGTGCACTGAGCGACATCTCGTTCCGCGGCTACACCATTCCCAAAGGCACCACGGTGATTATGCACCTGCACATGGTGCACATGGACCCGGAGTACTGGGGTGACCCGGAGGCGTTCAGGCCCGACCGGTTCCTGCACGCGGACGGCAGCGTGCGCCGTGATGAGCGGCTCATCCCGTTCGGCATCGGGAAGAGGTTCTGCCTGGGAGAGACGCTGGCGCGCATGGAGATGTTCATGCTCTTCACCTGCCTGCTGCAGCGTTTCATCTTCACCGCCGTCCCGGGGCAGAAACTCTCGCTGGAGGCCAGGTTCGCGGTCGTGCTGCAGCCTCCCGAGTTCTTTGTGACCTACAAGCCGCGTGATTAGCCCCTATGATGTACAAGCCGCGTGACTAGCCTTTGTGACCTACAAGCCGCGCGACTGTCCTTGTGACCTAGAAGCCGCGTGACTAGCTTACATGACCTACAAGCCGCGTGACTAGCCTTTATGACCTACAAACCGCGCGACTAGCCTTTGTGACCTATAATCTGCGTGAATAGCCCTTGTGACCTAAAAGCCACGGACTGGCTTTATAACCTACAAGCCTTTGTGACCAAAAAGCCACGTAACTGGCCTGATGGCCTACAAGCTGCGTGACTAGCCTTTGTGACCTAAAAGCCACGTAACTGGCCTGATGGCCTACAAGCGGCGTGACTAGCCTTTATGACTTACAAGCCGCATGACTAGCGATGAGGTGGCGGCTGTGCACCTGCTTGAGCACCTTGGTAGTCTGGGTGCCATGTAATACTAGCATGTCTGCCTCCCACATTGTTCTTTCGTCTCCATCACCAAACGGCAGATAGGGTCGGTGGTGTCCTTCGCCCTCACCAGCATATTGCTATAATGCCCGCCTAAATTACACGTGGTGTAATAACGTAGAGTTCAAAAGCGGCGAAGGCATTAAAATAGACCAGCGCATGTGTGGGTAATGCCGCACCATACGCATTCCATGATTTGTGCCGTCGTCTCACCATCTGGATTATTGTCATCGGGGTATGGGCAGATCTGATGTGGTGTGAGTTGTCTCTGTCTCTGTCTCTGATTGGTGTGCGGACAGTCACTGACGTTAGCGTTTTCTGTCATGAATACATCTGGCAGCAGTATAGGCTATACAGCTGTCATTTTCGCCTGCGCAGCTTCGATGACGTCACCATCCACAGCTGCTTGGGGCGGCCGCCCAGCGAGATTGCACGACAGATGGCGGCCGATGTGCAGACATACGTTTTCTTGACACGGCACGCGCGCAGACGTGGGTAGTGTTCCAGACGTAATACAGCTGTGTCCCACTGAAACGGCCATTTTGCTGGAAATGCATGCAGTGTAGTGTACATGCAGTGTATGTAGCAGTAAATGCATGCAGTGTAATCCACCTGGCTATCATTTCCTCGCGTTCTCTTCGTGGGCGAACGTCCCTTGCTCCATGCTGGAGCAATATACTATCGCGGCGTCGAAGCTCCTTCTCAGCGAAGTGCATATTATCACCTAAACCTTTGGCCTAATAAACTATCGGTGTATAAACTGGCATCATTTCAGTAGAAAAGTTTCGAAGTGCGTTACTTCGTGCATTTGTAATCGGCATCTGCACTATGGCTTGAGCGTCCGGTTTGTTTTTTTCCTTTCCCTATGGAAAAATAATCATAGAGGGTAAATCTTGCCCTTACTATGGCGCCGGTAAATCATCCCAACGACACGCTGCCGATGGTCCAAACAATTTCCATACTTCTGGGATGTGCCTTGATCGTCAAGTGCTGGATATATTTTCTCACACCTCATATGAGAAAAAGCTCATTTCTCATAGCCTGCCCAAATACATTTTCTCATTGCTCAGGCAAGAGAGCTGGCGAAAATTGTATCACATCTCGTGCGTTGCATATGTCACGTCTTGCGCAGTGCTTGTGGAATATTAACCACAGTTTGCTGGAAATGACTGTATCAGTGGTAGCATCAGTAAAAGGGAAACTTCCTTCGTGGTACGTACATATAAGGCACTGCTGTCGGTCCCATCGCATTTTAGAATAGTATCGGACGGTAGTTAAATCAAGACTAAGACCAATGTAGGCATAGCGACAAAGGTCAAGGCGACATTCGAGTGGGCTAAATGATCGTTGTGTCCCAAATGCATGGAGCGCATGTATTGTTGCTTTAAGACAGGTATGCTTCGGCATGACACCTTTCAATAGCGACAAAGCCGGCAGATGATTTGAGTGGTGGGACGAGTTGAAGAGATGGAGAGAGGGAACTGGTTTCATGGCCATTGTCTTTTCTTTGCACGAACTCTTTCCGCCGTAAAGCCCAATTGAAAATGATGTTTATGCATCCTTGGAACCTCCTTGGGCTTTCGCTCTTGCACCATAAATGACTATGAGTTACGGTTTGTCAAACAACCGACCGCTGTATATGTGACGTCTTGGCATTCAAAGCACCCTGCAATTCTCAGCTTTAAAACTAACGAATTACCTTTTTCTACCAAAAGGCCCCAGACTCCCGAGACAGGTAAATCCATTGTGTCTACGAATACATCCGAGTGCATTTGGGCAACCCATTTCATGTCAGCCGTCAAATGGCGATGGATTGTTTGTCTGACATCCTTTTAGTGCCATGATTGTTTACTTTTATCTCAATTCACTTTTAATCATGATGACCATTTGTCACTTGCCTTATTTCCCCGCGAATTTTGCAGCCTGTCGAATAGTATCTTCTTCGACAGTTTGTTCTTCGGACTTTTCCCATTCGACTTTATCCCTGTCGACGTTGCTCCCATTCGACTAGATGAGATCGATGCTTCCGTTCCAGTTTTTTTCCATTCGACTTTTTCCACTCGACTTATAACGATTAACACATGGCCACGTGCTCAGCGCTTGACCTGCATCCTCTCCAAGTAAACTCAGGCCACTCACGGCTGGTGCTCGCAGCCTTCCCGGATCAACGGGGCGCCGCGAGTTGCAAGATGAAACGAGAGTGAGGGAAGAAAGGCGAATGTACCTGCTTTTAACACTTGGCGCTCCAACAACACGCTGTATTAGAAACGCACGAGAAACGGTGATAAATTTACCGTGTCTCTTGCTTGCGATGCGTGAATGAGTCGGGCTTAGCAGCTGACTGACGGCCGGGACATTACTGCGGCCATGGCTGGGGTGAAGACATGATTGGTTCTATAGCCTTGGGGGCTGCGATGCCTGTACTTAGCGGACCTGGACCTAGATCTGGACTTTTGACACTACCAAACCAGCATTTGTTTTTGAAGTTCAGCTTTTGTCTTCGACTTGGCTGCAGCACGTAAAGACTTGTAACGCTATGGTGATAATGCACTATTCCTGTGAAACGCTCGTGACCGATCGATAGTTTTCAGGTACTCACTTGTACTTCCGGTACTTCCGGTACTTACTTCCGGTACTTCTCACATACAACTGCACTGGTATGTGACAAAATCATAATTGCTCTTAACGCAGGCAAAAAAGCATGTTGGTTGAATGGTTAGACGAAGCAATATACTTTAATCACTTGGAGCCATAAAGCTTGCAGCAATCTGGCGGGCAACACCCAGAAGCTCCAAGAAAGGGGACTAACCAAGTCACCCATTCATAACCTATTTCTGTCCTTTGCCACAAAAAATACTTCCCGCTCCCCATGCCTCCTGTAACATGTGTCGCTAATTTGCTAAGTTGTCGCTAATTCGCTAAATCGGCCGCTAATTTGTGTCATAAAAAGTAAAGAAAAAGGTTAAATATGCATTACAGCGTGAAGGGCATATTGCCTCCCGCCTTGCCCCGCATTTTCGCAGCCTTCTCCTCCTCTAGAGCAGCTCAACGGAGGGTGAAAAATGTGCGCCGTTTTGCGATGAAAAAGCGCGTTCGCCACGCCGTCGTTGCTCTGCGCTTAACCACCTGAGCCCATCTTCCATATTGATGTACTTAACCCCGCCCCTGTGACCAGGTACAGCCGTTCCAACAACGTTCATACTCTGGTGAAGCGTTATAGCCAACTTCTTATTGATAGCAGCTGTTCTCAAGTACTGCACCTGACGTTGGATACAGCCTCAAGAATACATTTTCAGGAAATGCTGCTTTTAGAAGTCTTGACATTTAGCGTCCCGAAAGCAGGAGTAAAATGGCCAAAATGAGACACTTGAACGGAACAAATATGATGGCAATGAGTGACGAGCAAAATAGCAAATTGAGCAGCTTTCAACGGATTTTCAACGAAGAAAGTAGCGTAGATTCATTAGTGCATTGGTGATTGTGCACATCCTTCTATTTGTTAGTGCGATGTGAAATCTTTCATTGACTTGACTTGAACTGGTTACATCTTACTGAGCCCGACTTTTAAAGTAATGCGCTCTGATGTCCACTAATTGTCTTACCGTGCATATGAGATTCACACGCTGTAATTCTGGCAATTGTGACCTTGACCTTAGCGGTGCGGAGTCAGGTTTCCGGGTAGAGGTCCAGGATAAACACTACCAAGGCGCCATCGTCAATGTTTGATTGAAGGAACGAAGTCAAAAAACAATCACATCAGCACTTAACTGAAAGACGTTGAGAAGCGTGCTCGAAATGATGTCATTGTCGTAACGGATCACTGCTGTGGAATTTCACGCACTTTGCGCTGCACCGCCGCAAGGCATAGTCGCTCAGGAACCGTTGATTGGGGCTGGGGCTACCACCCACAGTTTCTGAAAATTCCGCATTGGCCCTGTGGGCGTCGACAGGACAGAAATCATCAACGCGATGTTGGCAGAAAACAAATTAGCTGAGTCCCCAAGCTCCTTCTCATCGCAGTGCTTATTATCATCAAGATCAACTGGCCATGTACTCTACTAGTGTATAAGCTCGTGTTTGTATGGTGGCTAAAGGCTAGGTAGGATGATATTCTATGAACCCTACAGCTACGATGCGGTTTGTGCGCCCCATTCCAAAGTATTAAGTCTGTTTATGGAATAATATTAACAGAGCCCAACCTGTCATTTAATACGGTGGCGGTAAAGCATCTAAACGGCACGCTGGTTGAGGAACACATAGTTCACTTTATCCTTCCAGGTCTACACCAACGCCGTTATGATAAGCGCCAGGCGCAGGCCAAATGTTCTCTGGCGTGATGCGTTCAGACCGACAATAGCAACTGCGGCATGAACTGATTCCATTCAATCCAGGCGCAGTCGAATTACGTGACACAATGCTGCTATTTTCCTCCTCCCTTGCATCGCACTGCGAAACAAATTTTCAGTCCGTGTCGCTCGCTGAGACTGCATTCAACTGTGGCTAAACTGGTGGGCAGGGTCATGAGCAGACTATTGTTTTGGACAACTTCAAGAAATGGTTCCCTATTGGTGGCGCTGCTGCTCGGTTGCAGGCTCTTGCCGCCCGCTGGCAAATCACAACATTCTTTCATTCGCGTCCGCAGATGCCAGGGCCGTTGTCATGATGAGGAGGCGGGGAAGAAGCGCAGTGCTGTTACGAAGCGCTGACATGGTAATGTGGATTGGAAAACATAATTGAAATGAACATCCTTAGTTACGTCTTGACGGGTGCTACAGTGGCATTATCAAGTGTTGTTATTGTCCTAGCTGGTCATGAGGCTTCACTTGAGCATGTTTTTGAAATATGTCCCAGAGGTGGACACTCCCTTTAAAACTCTCTCACAAAGCTTACATACGCACTGATAATTACAAAAATGATGTGTAGAAACGAGCTGAACCAGTTCATGACAATGCAGCCCGCACAATTCTACTAGCATTCCACCATCATTTTTATCCACCTTTAGTGTTCTCAAACAGCGTGCAAGTTACGCTTGACGAGTGTAGCCTATTGTTCTCCCATTCCTCGCTGTCCTAATCCAGTTATGACAGTCAAAATGAATACAACATCAGCTCTATATGAATGTATTTATTCTGAGCAGCCGACATATAAACGTAACAATCAAGAGCCGTTTGCTTAAAGTTTTAGCCTGACCAAATATTTAGCACACATTACGGTCACTAAAGTTCCGTCCAAGCATCCTTCCATGGCGTGACGTCCAACAACCAGACATTACCCTGTTGGAGCAGCGCTCCTGTTCTCCGCGTGGTGATTGGCTGCGGAGAATACGGCGGCGGGGTGGCACACGCATTACCGAGGACTCCCTGTGCTGGTGGCTGGCTGGGACAAGGCTGACTCACACCTTGAGGCTCTATGTGCTGGTGAGGCTATCTTTAACAGTATTGCAACCAACTACGATTCAACACACGCTGGCCGATGGGGAGGCTTGGTATCTGGAGAATCTGAGCGAATGCCCAACGAATGTTGATTTTTCAGTTTGGGGTGACAGCTCCACAACTCAGTTTGCGTTTCCTTCCCGTTGCACTGATTCTTTCTCAGGAACTGTTTATTAGTGGTACAATGTACAATTCGGGACAAAATGA